ATGATTTGGCTCTTAGGGTGCATGATTGCTTTCTTAGGGTCCAGTCAGAAACTCAAGAAATTAATAACTTTGGAATACAGAGCCAAGCTCAAATGAAGAATTCTTCTTGGCTTTTGCTTGTCTATGCTCAGGATAACATTTCACTTCTGCACAGCTCAATATGCTCTTATTGTCCCTTATAGTCAGCATTTCTGTCCTGAGTATATCCCTGGGCCATCCATGTCCTCATTTGCTGGCAATAAACAGCAATTTCTTTTTAGTGCCTTCATGAGTTTGACATTATGTAACAACTTTCACACCAACTCCCAGTGCCTGACATCTAGTGGTGCCCATTTTTTAGCCATTAGTGCAGTGTGATGAAGCCTAGTTCAAATGTATGGTCAATTTTCCAATTATATTAGCACTCAGTCACTCAATTTCTCAATTCACCTTCCCTTCTGGACATCTTTTTTTTTTTTTTTTTTTTTTTTTTTTCACTTAGAAGCTTGCCCCGATACAAAAGTCACATGCATGTGTCACAGTCTCTTCTTGACATCCCACATTTGCCTGCTGGCTTCTGAATAGCTTTATTATGCACTCTTGCAGTCTGGCATTGTTGTTCTGCAGCACTGATGGGTAACACAGCACCTGCCCCACTGCCCAGCTGGGCTTGAGCTGGTGGTTGATCAAATGACATGTATGAGCACAGCTGTGGAACTGGGTGTATCAACTGTGTTTACTTCTGTTGAAGTTGCTGCTTTTCACAGAAAACCTCCAAGTCCTGAATCATTGTGTAAATTGAAGTGTTTCTTTCTATTTCCTGCATAGTGTACATCTTCATTGGGGTATAAAGCGATTTTATAACCTCAGGCTCTGGAGGATGACATTTCTTTTCCTCTGCCTTTCGTAACACTTTGCACGCTATATACCACTATAGCATCATCAGGTGTTAGATAGGCTATTCCTAAGAACATTACTACCTGTCTTGGTAATCCCTGGGCAGAAGGGGGAAATTAAGAATTTGGTCTCCTGGGATAAAGAAAGAAAGAGTTTATTTGTGATCTGTTTAACACAGAGGGGTAGGCGAAGGGGCAAACCATACTAAGCCACAAAACTCATATCTGCACTAAGTCTTCTTAATACTGACTGGTAAAATGAGCTTTTATATGCAGATAAATATTGCTTATTTAGAGATACCTGTTTATTGCTCTTGGCAGTGCCTCCTGTAAGTTGTTTTTGGGCATCCCACAAACAACTCAATTTTTAGTGTCTTGAGAGATCTCAGTTCTGTAGTGTAATCATCACCCCTCCCACTTCTTGGTTTCAGGAAAAGCATTGCTCTTTTTTTTTTTCTCAGACCCAGCACCTGTTAGACACCTTTATCTGTTGTTTCAACATCACCAGTGTTATTCTGGGCAACAGTATCTCACTCATCTTTGTCCCTTTTCCTCCACAGACATAAAAATAATGGTAATGTTTTTCTAACTCAGTTCTTATTCCTGTGATTGAACAAAGTTATTTGCCCTGAAAGGCAGCATTCTTTAACTTTCTTCCCTGTGGCTGTTGTAAAAAAATATAAGTAAAAATGCGTACTAATGCGTTTTGTGCAGGTTGCCAGGTTTTTCCTCCTGATACCACTCAAACTGTGTGTTTTATGGTTTTTTTGAGACTTAATCCTTATATGTAATATGTAAATCATTTAGTGTTCTTAAGGACTTTTTATTTTTCGTTGAGCTAATTAAAAGTTATTCAGTCAAGAGTTATACCAGTTCCTAACTCATAACTTCACCATAGTTCTTTCACTGAAGAACTGCCAATTTGAAAAAATTAAGTAATGCAACTAGCAATAGAAAAACAAATACAAATATTATTAAATAGTATCAGAATGCTCACATTTTACTTTTCTTGATGCTCAAGGATGTACGAATTCCATAGTACCCAAAAAGATGTAGCTGTTTATGATACAATTTTGCTTAAGACAGTTTCGCTTTGTCTTCAGTCAGTCAGATTTTCTTTCAATAAGAAAGCAGCCTTGCTTTAATCAGAAGTATTTAATGTTGGATGTTTCTGTTTCTCCTAATTTTTTTTTTTTCAAAAATACAATATTTTTTATAATTATTTTCAACTTTGTTATGGCAGGCAGTGCAAACTGCATTTCAGAACCAAGGGCTGGGTAATTCACCAATAGATTCCATCTGTGTTGACATTGGCTGCACAGCACAGCCCGCCCCAGTTACATGAAGTAACGGTGCTCCAGCAGGGTCGAATTCAGACAAGCACCATTTGTGTTTCATTTCCTTTTTTCTTTCCTTCTGAATAACATTTTGTCTAAAAACAAGCTTTTTCTTTTTTTCTTTTTTCTCCTGTTCTGTATTGGAACCTCTTCTTCATTTCTGGATAGCTTCGAAACTTCATTGTGATGTCAAGTTAAAATTGGTATGATACTCAGGATGGCTATTTCCTGGGTGACTTAGGCTTAATAATAATAGGAATTTCATATAACATTTATACACATGACAAGGAAAATAGTTTGAGGCTAGACCAAGATATTAATGTATCTGTCTGATGAAAGAGGTGATATGAATCTGCACTGCCCCGGGAACCTTGACCATGACTCACTTGAGCAAGGCTCTGTAAAGAGAAAATAAAAAATACATAAAAAATGAAAATTCTTGAGGAAGTTCGCTCTAATGTGTCTAACAATTCAGGCCACACAGAGCTGATTTGTGCTGGTGTATTGTGCAAAATTCACGATGTGCTGTCAATATTTCAATATTAAGTAACGCAAAGCATGTTTTAATGCCTCTTATACCTGTTGCACAGCAGCAGATAACCTTGAAAGACTCATTTAGTTGTGATGATGTGCAGATTTGCAATTTGTGTTTTTCAACAGAATCACACGGAAATTACACTAAAAGTCGCATTTTTTCATTATTTTGCTTCTTTGACAGATAATTGTTCTAGCAAAACTGGTCTCCAATGAAAATTCATTTGATTCACACTGTATATAACAGTAATTTCCTTCTCTTATCTGTAGTTGAGTGTGACATATTCAATGCCTATATCATTTGATATAGAAATAATATTAGTATGAAAGTCAGTCTGCCCAAGAATTTTTGTGTCAGTCACAAATCATTTCATTGGTCATAAGGAAGTTTCTGCTGCGTGATGACAAGTTAGTGCTCAATGAACTGAAGTGTAGATTTTTTCCTTTTCTTTCTGCGCCACTGGGAATTCATAAGCATCTACCTGTGAGATGAAATAACCTACTGTATATAAATTTAACTACAGAGCATTCTTAGGCTGGTAATCATCATCTTCTAGTTGAGAATTAGGTGTCTGGCATTGGCGTGTAGTCAGTGTCATGTCTGGCTCTGAAATGCAGAGATGAAAGTGACAAATAATTTAAAGGCAGACAATGTCATGTTATTAATGCTCAAGTTCTTTCCAGATGACTTTAGACCTATAGCAAAAGAGGAATCTAGTCCCTGTGTCTTCACCTGTATTATGTGCAAAAAGGCTTTATGCATTTCCTTGACTGTTTTGCCCACCTGAGATCTGAATGGTGTTCCAGAAGTGTCTGTATCTGGTCATGATCAAAGCCCACCTTAGTTTCTTACTTTGATATCTCTGTTCCCTGAGTTTTGAGCCTAATGAAGACAAACACATTTATTTCTTTACATGACAATTTATTGAGAAACTGTTACTGCAGAAATAAGATTGCTTACAAGTTATGGTTTTGTAATAGTGCAATAAACCACTGGCTTTGGAAAAAGACTTAAGTTCTGAGTGTTCTGTCCCTGGAGGTGTTCAAGGCCAGGTTGTATGGAGCCCTGAACAACCTGATCCAGTAACTAATTTATTGCTTGGCAACCCTGCCTATGGCAGGGGTGTGGAATGAGATGTTCTGTAAGGTCCCTTTCAACCCAAGCCACTCTATGATTCTGTTATATGATTTCCTCCAATATGAAAATGTAAAACTGAAAGCTTATGGCAAATCTGTGTGATTTATATAAAATGCAGTTTTGTTTTTTTGCTAAAAAATAGAACAGTAAAGTCATACGGAAGAAGTCACAGAGCGCTAAATTTACTTTGCTACTAGATCAACATACCAGCAGTTGGTCAGCTTTAAATTTAAAGCAGGTTTATATTTAGAAAAGAAGCATTTCAGAATTTGACCTGGTATTTGAAATATTTATTTTATCATATAATAGTTTCTCGATGTTCCAAACTATTCGTTATTTGTTGCTCAGTTTTCTCTAAGTAAAGAATTAATATCTATATTAAGAATTAATTTGCTATTGAAAAACACCATGCATCATTAAAGCATGATCTAAGTTAACTCTTTGATGTCTACCAGCCCAGTCCATTCAACTTTTCTAAACTGTACAACCAAAGGGTTTTTTTTTGCTACTGTATATGAATTATTTTAGATATAGATTTCTAATAAATAAGCTTCAAAAGGGTAAAACAGCCTACGCACATAAGTCTCTTTCCTACAGAGATCTTCTGAGTTTCTAGTTCTTAGCAAACTATATCTTTTCAACATTTTGGATCATATTGTGTCCCAAAGGACTGAGTTTGAGTACAGGAGAGAAGGTTCTGCTTCCTTATTATGAGCAGATCTAAAAGTTTGAAGCATAATTAAGTCACTTCCCATCTTCAAATCTCAACCTCTACTTATTATTGTTTAATTATAACATCATATAATTAAGCTTGAGATTTAGACTTGTTTTTCTCCTAAAATCTGCTACTCTGCATCTTATTCAAAGGACAACATCCAACTCCTTCAGAGCCTTGACTTTAGAGATAGTTAAGGTGAAAAACAGTTATATAGTTAAGTATGTAAACCGAATGGCTATGCTTGTGACTCTATGTATGTATGTGTGTGTACATATAATATATAACCAGCCTTATGAGCTGATCATGAGCAGATGTTCTGACCACGTTTATTTTAACACCTTGTTATTATTTAATTACTTTAATTACTTTCTCATTTATTCTTTTTTCCCTTCATTTAGCCACCAGATAATGGGCCTCCGCCTTTACCGACGTCTTCCCTTCCCGAAGGCTATTATGAAGAGGCAGTGCCGCTTAGTCCTGGGAAGGCTCCTGAATATATCACTTCCAGTGAGTAGTATATATCCAGCTTATTTTCACAGCAATTGAATGCTAATTCTAGTGTCTTTCAGCTTTTTTAGAATTCAACAGTTATATCTCTATTGGTGCTGTTGTTGTATGTCATAAGTGTAGTTTCATTGTCCTCACCAGCCATGCATTGTTTTGGTGTGCAGAAAAGTTTTGATCTGCACAATCCAGGCTCCTTTTAGAAGAGAGTAAATCTGGAGCTTCAAGTTAGGTGCACATTGATGTTTCGACTTCTGCTGTAAGCAGAAGGTCCTGATTGGTCCTCTGGGCATATTTGAAGCATGACTGTGCTGGAGACATTTGAATCAGGGGTCCAGAGTTAAGTATTGTCTACTCACTAAACTGCTGATAGTGTAGAGGCCTCAAAATTGGTCTTGATCTGCAGATCTATTGTTACTCTCCTATTGCACTGATTTACTTGCTAAAGTATACAAATAAAAAGCAAAAAATTGTCTTTTCTGAACTGAGTAATTATTGAAAACATGCAGAATTTCTATTGATTGATGATGTAGCAACACATCATTTATACTGGCTCCCATAAGCCATGTTTAATGCACGAGAGTGTTACAGTAACTACTTGTTTTGTGCAAAAGGCATAGGCTAGTCCCCCGGGTGACCGTTAAAACTTCCTTTGGCAGCACACAAGTACTCTCTATCAAATTCCAGTACTTATGCAGAGACTCACTGCACTTAAGAGGAGACAGGATGAGGGCATAATAATGAGAATGTATGCACGGTGTTTTACAATAAAAAGTTGCAAAGATTTTCCCTTTTGCTACTCTTTTTTATTGTGTGAGGTAATTTAATACTTTTGTATGGCCTAGTCATTTTTTGTGTGTGTGTGTTCCGAAGATTGAAGGGATATCTGCCTGCATTTTTCTATTGTTTTTCTATTGTTTTCTACTGTTTCTATTATTTGAACCAAAGCAAAAACATAAAATAATATTTCTGTCCTTATAGTACTTCCATAGGCATCACCTGAAAACAATAATTATAACTGTGTGGCAGGGAAATTTGCTTGTCATTGTGTGTTACCTCTAAACATTAAAAACCAAAGCAAGGTAGCTGGCAGCTCTTAATTTGCTGGGAAATTCAAGATAAGAAGTAACTTCATATAATGCAAAGTAAATGAAGGAACTTAGGGTAGCAGGATCACTTCTCTTCTTACGTCCTTGCTTGCAATGCTGCAGGGTGGTCCTGCTATACCTTGCAATCTGGTGAACTGCTGACTTGTGTTTTGTTATTAAACAAAAGTCATACTCAGGCAGGAAAATACTAATAGCACAGATATTAATAGCATGGCTAAAGGATCACCTAGAAAAAAAAAGTGGCACAGTATGAAACTATCTTTTTGTACTTAACCATCCAAATCCATAACAATATTTGGGATATCAGCCTTCAAATTTCATTAATACTTCCATAAATGTCAGTATATGTACCCAGATATCTGAAGCTTTTTTACAGTAACTTATGAGTGCAAAAGTGCCATCGCCCTGCTGTGATTTTGCTAAATTTTCTTATATCCTTGGCTTATAATTTGTATTAAAAATCATCTGCTCTTCTTCTATAATTAAGTTGCTTTTAAATTTAATATACCATTAGTAATTTTATCAACATCCAAAATTTTCACAAAACCTAGTGTATATGACTATTAAAATAAGCCACCAAAGCACTGTATTAACCAAAGATAGAAGGTATAGATAGTCAGACTGCTGAGATAAAGAAGACGGTAACAGCAAGTTTCTGGAGGTATAAGAAATGAAAGAATAAACTGTTAAATAACTGTTGGGATAGATGCAATTATCTTAAGCAAATATTCCTACAGAGTATTTTTGTAATATCATTAGTAGCAAGGAAACTTTCATACTATATACTATCCCTAGAAATCATTAAAGTCACTCAGACTTGATTAGGTTTGACAAAACCCCAAAACAGTTCATTTTGGACAGATGCTTTTCACTTTCTTTTTTTCCTACCGGATTTTCATATTTCTCTCCTTCCTCCCCACCACCAACCCTCCAAAACCTTAAGAGTCTGTTCACATGTACATGTGCATAATACATTTTCAGATCTTAATTACAATTCTGAGTGCAGCCTCATCTATATATTTTTTAAATATCTATTTTAAATGAAGATCAAACTATTGTGTATACTACAAATGAGATTAGAATATCTGGGGTTGATTTGGAGCCTCTGGTATATTCTGTTGTCAGCTGCACACAGGTTGGGACAAACACACAATAAGCTCACCAGCAATTCAGTTCCTTGTCTTGTTCCTAAGTGCTGTGGGTCTCTTTCCTATGTCCCAGGCTGTGTCCCAAGTACCTAGCTAAAGCAAATGAGAGATTTTCTTCCTTGAAGTTTTTGGGAGAAATTTTATCAACGGGAAATATTCTAAGCAATTCTTCTCCGTGGGAAGATTCTTCACTTCTCCATGTGCCACTGGAAAACAAGTGTGTCTTCATGTCTCAGTAATTATCTGAGGGGCTTCATGTATACCCACATAATCAACTAAATATGCATGGTGGAAATGAGGGCTCTGTAGTAATAGAAAATTAGTTTTGTAATAGAGCAGACTGCTAGAGAGCTTTCTGCATTATTGAAAACATAAGAACTAAGCAAAGATTGCGTAATTAAAAAGGAATCTTGCCACTACTTCATGAAACTTGGTGCAGGATTAAACTACTTCAGCTAAGCACATAAGAAGTATTTTTGCAGAATGGTTTTAACATGAGCAGAATCCATAGTTCAGGGAACATCATCGCCTATCCAACATTAATCATGTCTCTGCAGGTGCTGTAATTGTGAACTACAAGAAATGTTATGACAGGTAGATAGTACCCCCACATTTATTCTTGTGACCTTTGTCATATGCGGTGTTTATTTCTTAATGTGCTTTACTAATATTTACATTTCTATGCCTACATTCTGCATTCTGCAATCAGTGAGATCGAGACATTTTCTCTGTAAAAGAACTACAAATGATGAAAGTATCTGCCAAGTAACACTTTGAAGGTAGTAAAGCCATTTATTCCCAGCTTGTTTTTCAATTCAAATTCACAAGGTTTCAATACCTCTGTCTCCTGTAAAATTTCATAATGGAAATTCATCTTTTATTTAATTAACTTAATGTACTGATATTACTAAGCACTGAAACAGTAGTTTGTTCATGGCTGACATTCAAAAGCCTTAGTTTAAAAAGGCACCCTGTTGGGCTCTTCAGTTATTTCTGTACACTTAATGGCTAAATGTTTTAACTTGACTCTCTCATGCTTTTCTTGAAGATTATGACTCAGATGCTATGAGCAGCTCTTATGAATCCTATGATGAAGAGGAAGAGGATGGAAAGGGGAAGAAAATGAGACATCAGTGGCCTTCTGAGGAGGCCTCTATGGATCTGGTGAAGGATGCCAAAATTTGTGCCTTCCTACTTAGAAAGAAACGATTCGGGCAATGGACCAAACTACTGTGTGTTGTCAAAGAAAACAAACTACTGGTAATTCTTATTTCTATCTGCCTGTATTTTCTTTCTACCTTTTAGACTGTGTATTTATTTTTATAGAGATTTAGCTTTGGAATAAGTTCTGCAAACAGTGGCCAAGTCTACGGTAACCTTACCAACAAGTTTGGTTATGATTTACCCAAGAATCTGAAAACTACTGAAATTATAAGCGTATCATGTAACCACTTAGGCTTTTATTGCTCTTAAACCCAGTCGGTTCTCTGATGTAGGAAAGAAAGTCTAGCCTATTAGCTTTCACTGTATTTCATTTGGAGAAAATTTTGCTGAAACTATAAATCCAATCTTTCATTCCCTGTGGACCAAAAATCTCATAGGGAGCTTTGTGTATGAACTGTTGGATCAGACTGCTGGAGAGAAAAGTCCCTTGTTAGACTGAGAACTCACTTGGCAGCATATGCTGTTGTAATGTATACACTTTAAACTAAACCTTCACCATCTGTTCTGCAGTAATTACAGATGCAGCATTCACATGATGCACAGCTGCATTATAGAAATGCATCCACTTGTTAGTGGATATATTTGTTTCTTAAGCAAATCTGTCATGTTTCTGAATGATTGGAGGCACCAGTAAAAGATTCTGAAAGTTAGTAAATTGTCAGCTTATAGAAGTCTTTTTGTTTGTTGAAAAGAAGGCCTAATTCAGATTCATTTCTGTGATATTTAAAGCATTCTGAGGCTTATAGTAACGTATCAGCTGGGGCCTCCCAGTCTTCCAGTCTGATGTTTGCCATAGGTCTAGCTAATTATGTAACTAGTAAATACTATTATATCTCAAGGATTAAAAGCTGATTAACACGTGATAGAAAACTTTCTGTAGAACGTCAGTATTCTACATGTGTACAGGACAGATTAGGGGTGTTCACTTTCCAAGTGCATTAACAGTTATTGGCTGTATGGGAACTGTCATGATATGAAATAGAGATACGTGGGTAAGAAGCTTCTGGAAATCTAGCTGGAGTTCACTTGTTAGTTTTCCATGGTTACTGAGGATTTAATGCTTGTATCCAAACAAAGAAATGTTTAATGTGATTTGGTTTGTATCATGCTGTAACGTCACTATTTTTAGTCAACATTTTTATCAACATATAACAGAACCAAGTCAGGTTTCAGGACCTGAATTACAGCTTGAAGAAAAGAAAGAATAAAAAGGGAAAGAAGCAAATTTTCTCAGAAGTCACACAGTACTTCTTCTAGAATTATGTTTGCTGTTCTATAGAGAAATATGTTATTTTTTTCTTTTTTCCTAAAGCCACATGTGTGGTCTGCAAAGATTATTCTCTTTATAGGGATTGTCTTTCATTAATTCTGTAACGGGTATTAAGAAAATTAAAATCCCAATAGGAGTTTAATGACCAAATTACACAAGATTGGTTTATTGTTTGAAGGAGGACTTGGAGATATAACTTATGAGATACGCAAGTAAAACAAATATATGTTCTGAGGGATTAGAAATTGCCAGCATTATAAATGTGGCTTTAATGAAAAAACAAAAATGTTTTAATTAGAATTAGACATTAAGAATAAGACTTAGTAGAGAATTGTGTTTTTTTCACATACAGTTACCTAATATATAAATACTTCAGTTTTAGTAATGCATAACTGTAAAAAAATTAAATGAATGTAAAGGAATCTGTATGCTTTTAAATGCTTCTTTGAGTGACTATTGTATGTTTTGTAGGTTTCATAGCTTGAAAACTTAAGTTTTTTGCAATTACAACCTTAAAAGTTCTGACCAAGCGGGAGAAATTTTGAGTTAATTGGCCTTGGAGAGAAAGGAAGATGGTGGGTAATTTGCAGACAGTGGCTTTATTTGTTCAGCCTAAATTGGAGTGTTTATGATATCCTTATAAAAGCTACTGTTCTGACAGTTTGCATCATGGCTTGATTATGCAGAAGTCCATGTGCTTCATTCTGCTCACATCTATACGTATATTCTGCATGTGTATATACTGGTCAGTGTTTAATACCGGATACCTTTTCAGCCTTCATGCTTATCTGTATGAGTAAAAGTCCAACTTATTTTGGTATATAAAATTACTTGGCATTCATATACACAGCTGAACATTGTTCTGCAGTCTGGCACTCTATGACAGCTTTCTTAAACTCAGCTATACTGATGTGCTAGAAGAATAGAAACTCAGTCAGCAGGACAAGTGACATAGTGTGGAACTCTTCATGTTTTAGTCACCAGTTCAAACACAGATCAAGTCATCAGTAATCCAGCATGGAATGGCTGTTCTTTGACAGCACTTGCTACCGAGGGAAAAGGAAAAATAATATATAATTCATATAGTTTCAGCTAGAAGCTTATAGAGTAAACCAACATTTGTGTGATTTTTTGCAGTGAATTATGAAACTGAATTAGTTGAAAAATTACAGTCCTCTTGCCTTGCCCTCTTTCCACACTGTGACAAAATTTGCTACTTATCTGAACAAAAAGGGCAGCTGAATAAGGTGTCTGTCTGTTCCTGAGTGATGGCAGCCATGTAGGCACATCCTAGGTTTGCCTTGATGGTGCTAGAGGGCAGACACAGCATCTGGGCTTGAAAGTTATTAACTGTACAGGCATGTTCTACTGCTACCTGTGAACAGACATGCAAAATCACCCTCTCCATACCTGATGGAGGCCAAGGTTGAATCATGAAGATAACGCAGAGATCCTTAATGCCTTCCATATGTTGTACCTGTCCTGCAACAGCAGATCTCTATTAATGATGGTCTGGAAGCAATTTTTTTTACAAAGAGGATGAGAAGGAGAAATGTGAAGCCAGCATTGGCTAAGCTCCATGGTATGTGGTAAAGGGTCTGTGGAAAATATTAAAAATAGAATTTCTGTATAATAACAGCTCTCCTCCAAAGTTCAGAAAGATGAGATCTAACTTTTGACCTTCCCTTACATTTTACAGTGTTACAAAAGTTCTAAGGACCAGCAGCCCCAGATGGAGCTGCTCCTGAATGACTGCAGCATCACCTACATCCCCAAAGACAGCAAAAAGAAGAAACACGAGCTGAAAATCTCACACCAAGGAGCGGATGCACTAGTTCTGGCAGTACAGAGCAAAGAGCAGGCGGAGCAGTGGCTAAAGGTAAATTCCAGCCAGTCTGAGACTACAGAAATCCAGACTTAAAGGTCTGGCCTTGAGGCAGCTCCTTGGGCAACCAGAAGCTCAGTGTCACACAGCTGCTGCGGGTGCTTGTGCTTTTCACTGCTAACAGCACAGCAATTGGTACCAAGAGAGGAGATGACAATTCCCTTCCATTTCTACCTCTAGCTCATTCTCCAGAAAGATTTGGTGGCTCAGATTCCCTCAGGTAAAGAAGGCTGGCACTCAGCATGCTTTTTGTCCATCAACATAGCAGCTAAGGCTACCATGCAAAATTGGGCATACCACCATCACAGTCATCTTTTTATAAAAGAGATAAGTCTGAGGAGGTACCTGCTTGAATTGCTCAGGAGGAAGAAAAAATGTTCAGATTCTTGAAGTCAGTTAAAGTTTACTGGTTCTCATGGAGCAGTGCATCCTCTGTTACAGTTTGCTCTGGAAAAGACAGTTCTGAGAAACAGGATTTTGTCATTTTTCACCTTTCTGTGCGGTCTCTGAAAATGTGGAAAATTCTGCTGCAAGGGTGGCAGTTTTATACTGGACTTTGCCAGTCTCAGATAATGGATAATGGAGTTCAGTGAGGTAGTGTGGGAAACCACTGCACTTTTAGTGGCTTGGTTTAAGACCTTTAAATCCAGCCTTTTAAGTGCATGTTGAAAGTCTAAATGCATAAGACTGATCAGGCATTCTCTATGTTGTGCTCTGATCTAACCTTATATGGTACTTATTTTGCTGAGAATAAATTGTATTTCTCCAAACACAATTGAATTAAACACATAGGAATTTCCTGATGACAGTTGTTTTTTTTTTGTAGAAAGGAGGAGAGAGAAAATGCAGCTTAAGAGGTATGAGCTCTGCTGTGGGCTAACTGACCAAGTGGAAAATTAATCTGTAATTTCCTATTTTGCAACATTAGAATATACTTTTTGGGGATTGCAGGATGTCCATGCTTTGTTTTTGAATGGGAGTTTGCATTTTGTCTTAAAAAATGTTTTCTCCTTTTAATATAAACTAATCATTTTTAGGTGTCTTCTAACACCAGTATTTTAAGTTTCAAAACAAAAAACCATCTGAGTGTCCTATTAACTCACCTCAAATTCAAAGCATTGATGGGAATGAAAATAAATTCATCAGTAGTATTCTTTGCTGAGGGAATTCCACTTTAGTTAGATCATAGTAACGGTCCCATTATTTCCTGCCTTGTTCTAAAGTTGGGTTTAGTGAAGCTGAATACATTGGCAGTTATCAGACTTTCTTTCATAAAAATTGTTTTCTTTTTTTGTTGTTGTTTTTTTTCCCATAAGACTTTCTTCACAGAGAACAGTACTAGATTTTCCCCTATCCCGGATGCATTCCTGCTACTTAAGGAAGAAAAAAAAAAGAAAAAAGGTTTTGTACAGTTACACATTTGGCACAGTTGTGTGCGATGAGGTTGAATGGCTGTACAGTATGCTGTCATCCGTAGAGCACATGGAGACAGTCTGACAGCACTTTATTTAGTTCCTCCTGCTGCAAAGCTCTCCCCAAGAAGCTATCCCAACAACATGGCAATGCTACTGTATGCTCAGCTTCCAGGTTCTCAGTGCTGCTGCCGTACTCTCTGATCTGTACAACACAAATAGCAAGCCAGCAGCTAAAACACAGTGGTTTGTGCAGCTCTTGCAACAGCTCCACAGTTTTGAGAAGTGTGGCTCCTCAGAAAATAAAATTATTTATTTTCTGTTTTTTAAAAGGTATGAAAAAACTGCTTTTTTTTTTAATTATGAAAATACTTGGGCTTTGCTCATTGAGCCCTTACAGTGAGCTTGTGAAGATTTTAATTTCTGTAGGTAATAAATAGACAGATTTGTACGCTATGCAAAGGGCCTCTGCATCCTTAGTTTTTAATCAAAACACGCCCTCTCTGTCGCTGATGCTTTATGAATACGTACATGCCAGTGGAGCTGGGTTATTGCTTGGGAACAACAGGTTCCCATGAAGAAATCTGTATGCAAGTATCAAGTTAAAGCTTTATTCTTGAGCCTGAAAAGCTCAAAATGGATTTGAAGGCCAGATTTTCCCATGAAAGCTAAACTAGATGATCTTTTTAAGGTCAGATGTAATCTCTAAAAAATGCATTTGCTTAAGCAAATAATTTTAAAATACCTATTGAAAGACAAGGGGCATTAGAACAAGTAGAGTTGAAATAAATGCAGAATATTTTAGACCTTTTTTGTAAAGATGACACCAAGAAAACAGCTGATAAACGTGCAAATTGAAGTCTAGACTGGAAACCACAGAGGGAGTTTCAGGTTTACCAGCTAACAAATACTTGCTGAAAAAGATAGCTGATGTCACCAAAGAGCCTGTCATGATTGCAGAGCGTTGAGCATAACTGGTATAAAATCCAGGCTACAGCTGAGATCATAGCAGTATTACTGTGTACAACATAAAGTGGTGGAAATTTCCAAACTTCAGTCCTAAAATGTTCCCACAAAAATGTACATGAAAAAATGTATGCAGTTACACACTTTGACCCAAACATGAGCTTTTTCCATGTGCGCTTGGAGTATATGAGCATCTGTGTGCACTTCTGTGCATTTGTGGTCAAGTGAGGTCTTAAATCTTCGTGTTTGTCTCAGCACATCCAACAGACTGATGGAAACTACGCACTTATTTGTGAGCATCCCTGGGAAATGCTACATTAGAAATAAAAGGACTACTAAGAAGATTACAAGAAGATGCTTGTTTAATGGCTTCATTCACACAGATGAATATGTTCTTTGTGCAGGGCCTTCAAACTAGCCCCAGAAGACAGCTCTTAATATTATAAATACACAGATGCCAAAGAAATAATTTCTGAAGCAGCTTCTTTTAGAAGACCAATAGGAGAAGGAAATGGTCATGGTGTCTGGCCCCAAGGCCTTCCCCTCCTCCTAGAGATGCCTCTTGCAAAAATGAAATGAAAAATGAATTTCTGATTTATCACTCACCACTTAGCTATCATGCATCGTAGTTAATCTATGAATCATTTCTGGATCTTGTCCTTTATTTTCATTTTTTCCTAATGCTAAACACCCTTGGTTAACTTTTCTTCAGCTTATGGTGTGCAGCAGCTGTTCACTTCAAGGTCTGTAAATGAGCACATAATGTATCTATCCTCGTATCTGCATTGTCCTGATCCTTTAATAAGAGAGATTTCATCCCAAAGATAGAAGAAAATCAGAGCTGTGTCATTCAGTGACGCTATGTTGCTCGTCACGAGACTGCTGAGTTGACCTACCCAACTTCCATCTTTGATAGTTGCATGTTATCTCCTGTGAAAATCTTAGAAAACCTCTTATTTTTCCCCCACTACGTTCAGCTTAGTGAGAAGGCCAAGTGGCTTCTGGGCTTCAGTCTTAATGTGGACTGAGTTTTACTGAAGGATAAACTACTGGCATAGCTCTTTGTTTACCAGTTCAAATCAGCAGAAAACTGAGCTTGTAACAGTAAACACTGTGTGTCTGCTTTTACTTTCTATGGGTATTTCCAGATGAAGATCTCAAAATACTTCAAACATTACTTTTTTGGCTAAAGCAAAGCTCCCTAAAGTTGTCATTATCTCCATTTTTTAGCTGGGAAAAGTCAAGTGCTGAATGATTGTACCTTAAAACTAACTGAGTAGAAATGCAGTAGGGGGATGCATGGTGAGAACAACTGATTTCCATACAGTGTTTGTTGGCTTACAAGTAACTGTAGGCATGCACAGTGTCCTGGGACAGTCAGGCTGGGTTCTTTCTGCACTTCATCACCAGTGAAATGCAGTGATGGCAGAACCTGGAGGCTCAGAGTGCTGAGCTGCATGTGAAAGCCGTGACAGCCTGCAAGGTCCCTTCTGGTGTGCTTGGGCAGAGCAGCAGAACCCTGTCTTTTCTGGGAGGTGGCCAGCAGCCACATGAACCAGTGGGTTTGTATGAGTGGCACTGTGGGAAAAAGATGTACTTTAAAAAAAAAGCAGATGCTGTATGTAATATTTTCTTTAAAAGCAACGAATAAGGAACCACAAGTATCCTATTTGCTTGCTTTCTTAGGGATGCATTTTCTTTATGCTAAAATCTCAAATGCAAGCTGTAGCAAATCTCAGAGCGACACTTGGAAGGGCTGAGATTGCATCTCCTGCTTTCCCCACTAGACAGCATTCCTTCTCTCTGCTGCTTGCAGTTTTGGATGGCAAATTATTTAAACAGTACCCAGCTCAGATTTATGGCTTTAAATGCATTCTGCATCCCTGCATCACCTAGACTGGAGGTGCAGCCCTGTGCAGGGGCACTGCTCCCCATGCAGAACAATGTCTCCAGCCACCCAGCACTGCCTGTCCTGGGCTCTTTCTGGTCCAGTGGCCATATATGGAAATAGTCTTCATGGTAGCAATGCAAGAAAGAGGACACGGGGTTTGTCTTGGTTAGATATGCCAGGAAATTATTTTTATGGGAATATACACATAGTAAAATAGGCTTGCTGGCTGTTAGTTTGCTGGAATCTCATCCCCAGTGTACTCAGAGAAATGGCAATAAGACATAAAGATGAATCTTTTCAGGATTGGTTATGCTTCAGGATGATGTTTTCCAGTACATAAAGTAAAATGTGTTTATTTTCAGGACTTACAGCATAGACTGTGTGAATAATTTCTGCTTTTCCTCTAATTTCTGTGGGTAAACTTCTTGAGGCATTTCTTCTCTTTAAAGTGCTAGTAGAACTTTAGTGCTCTGTTAAGTAGGATAAGATTAATTCTAATATATGTAGTGCATAAGAGGTCCAATGGAGAAAATGAGAATTTAGTTACGCCAAAAGTCCCAGAAGTCCTCCAGCACTGAGCAGGAGGTGTTTCAGGATGAAGAACTGCAGGAGTAACTCTGGAGCCAAAAGCATTTCCTTCTGCTTGGTTGTATATACGCAGATTTCAGTTTGACCATAATCCCAACTTCAGAGATAAGAAGAGATGAGAGGCAGGGAACATGAGCCCTCCCCTGCTTCTAGCAGTTCCTGTATTCTGTGAGATGTAGGGATAGACTGGGACAAAAGGGTTTGTTGGTTGGTTGGATGAATTTCTAGTTTGGCTGTGTAAAAAAATGAAGCAAATGTCCTTCAAAAAATGAAGCAGAATTATCAGTTTTCTCTCTCATTTCTTCTGAACTCAGTCAAATTTAAAGTTAATCTTTTTTCTGCGTGTTGTGGGAGATGGTGTCTGTCTCACAGACATTAAATTCTGTGAGTTTCATGAAAACAGGTGTTGGGTGGACAAGAGATGCAGTAATCACATCTCTGTGGTAAGTACAGTCTGTGACTGACCTCATCCCTTGGTATCTTCTGAGACGAAGTTTTGTAAGCCTATCAGACACAGGAAGGCTTTCAGTCTTACTCCTTATCAGTTACCAAAGAGCTCAACCACAAGGAAGCAGCTGCATGCTTAATACTTTTGCTCAGAATTTGCTGGGTTTCTTTGCGGCAGGAGATGGTAAGTAAGTAGCTGACTTTTTGGTTTTACAGCATACACCATGTTTTTATCTGCCAATGGGATCTTTGAAGGTAGTTGGAAAAACCTTATTTGATTCTTCTGATTTTGCATGTAAAAAGAATAAATGTAGGGCAGCTGTTTTGCCTGCAGTTGTGGTGTGTCATTTAAAATAAAATACACATAGAAATTTGTGTGTGAGTGAAGGTATGAAAGATTTGTAGTCAACTTTATTGCTTGTGTATTAGGCTTTTATAAAGACACATATTCCAGACATACCACATGGCAAAAATTCCACTGGCTTCACCCATCATTATCAGCTGCTTTGGGCAGGGAATCTTTCCAGCTGTGTACCTGCAAATATTTCCCCTTCATTCCTCATGGCGCCAACATCAGTGCAATACACTTGCATATCCAGATCCAGCTGGGGATTCAAGACCTTATTATAACATAAATAAGTAAAAATAGTACAGTGCAGGCTGCACAAGCTTTTTCCATGTCTGCATTTGAAAGAGGCAGTTCTGGAATCTAATGGTAATATTGTTATGGTAACTATGATATTTAAAATTCTTGTGATGGAATAGCAAGAGATTATTTTAAATGTATTTACTTTTGAAGCTGTCCAAACAAATAAAAGGTCTTCTGTCTTCTGGTTACATTTATTCATATATTTTAATTATTTTAGTACACAGCACGTTTACAATCTTAGTTTGATTTTCCTGGCATCCTGTGCATGTGTGTATATTATATATGATGCATTTATAGTGAGAAGAAGAGAATGATTTCCCTTTTCTTATGTGTGGGAAAAATTAAGCTATTAATGTAGTACGCTCCAATACAAAGTAATCTAGTGCAGTCTTCCAATTCCATTTATTAAAAATCACACATTTGGAGACTTCTTTTATTTGCTTTCTAGTTTTGAAACTGCTGTGATAATATATTTATTCATATTTTCATACATTTGATTGCAACGGATAGAAGTTTGCTGACCTCACCCTGCTCCTGCTCTCAAGTATTTTTTAATGAAAATAGCATTCTTTTGTTTTCGTATGATTCCAAGAGATGGAACATTATAGAAAAAAATTGACAAGAACTCTGAGTCTTGTGACAGAAATTCTGCAAGTTGGCAACGCGAGTGGAATGTTTTATCCTTAAAATTTTGAGTTAAAGCTATAAGCATGTGAAAACCTCATTTGTAATGGCAACTGTCTGCAAATGTAATTATAGAGAGTGCATCCAGGCAACCATTATATATTAAAGGCATTTCATCCTGGTGAGCTCTGAAAGTATGAATTCTATGCTGTGCATCAAACACAATTATATTGCACATAGAAGATGATGAGGAAGCATTTGCTAACGAACCCCTTGAGCCCAGATGAAGTGTGGAATCCTTGAAAATCCATTTTCTTCAGATCTTGACATGAACTTCTATTTGGCAGTATGCTATTTTTTCAATCAAAATTTAATTACAACCCAATTAAACACTTTAGCATCTCCTTAAATATGTGAGGTATGATAAGAACCGTATTTACTTGAGTGCATGACTTTGCACATATTATTCAGTTAGCACTGCCAAATCATTTCCCTCTGTTCTGTCTGTAACTCCCATTAATATCTGCTTTTGCCAGAATTAACTGACTGTGTGGTGTCAGCAGATGCTGAAAACATGAGCCATTGAATCAGGGTCATGCAGAAGACAGAAATGAATGTTCCCAGAAATTGTGTTTTCTCTAACTGAAGACCAGTAATTGAAAGGATAATAATACACAGAAACAAATTCTAATGTGTGTGTAGAGACCTAGGGAGAAGTTTAACTCTGAGATGCAAAAGTTTTCCAGTAGGCATATCTACATTTTCCATTAGAAAGCACACCCAGTGCCATGAATTTGATAATACTGTGCTTATGTTCAGACAGTCATGAAAGGATACCGAAACATTTTAAGATACTTAGAACTAAAAATGTAGGTTCATTTCCCTCCTATGCTTAGATTTGTTAAGTAACACTGAGTGAGTGATGTAATCTTTCTTTCATTTCTGAGCTCTCCTTATGTAATATAGATTTGGTTCCCTTCCTGTCTTTATGGCGTATAGTGCCTTTAATTTACGAAGTGCTCATGAGTTGTTTCATTAAGGTCTCTGTAAGACAATAAACATTTGCTTTGCTTAGCTTCACCCTTACAGGGAACTTCAGTGCTGTGAAAATAACTTTAAACTGTGTTTGATGTTGTCTTCAGCTATTTAATGGTTTCTACATCAAAATTGTTCAGTTCAGAACTGGGAAGAGGCTGTTATTATCCTGCTCCCCATTTAAGGAAATCTGGATTTTGGCAGTTGGATAATTGCTATTATTTCTGCACCTGGTAGTTTTCAGACCAAGTCCTCCTCTCTCCTACGCAGACTTGCTGTAAACGGGAAAAAAGAGAGAGCAGGGTGTGTAAACACAGCCATGTACATTGAAAGGGGAAAATCTGCATGTCTAGCAGGAAAGCTTTCAGCAGGGTAGGATGTCTTCCTTCTTTAGCAAGTAGGCTCTGCTGTCCTCATGTGGCTGTCGCTGTAATCCAGTAGTGGATGATCACTGGTGTGTACAGAATAGAGTCATAGAGTCATTTAGTTTTGAAAAGACCCTTAAGATTGTCGTGTCCATCCATCACCTCACATTCATATCCTTCACAGAGCCTTCCAGCACTAAAATAGATCAACTCTTCTGCCCAACTTGGTGTTATTTGCAAATTTAATGAAGGTAAACTCAAAACTGGTCTCAATGCTAAGCCCTAGGGAACACCACTTGTGGGCGGTCACCAATTAGATTTAACTCCAATCACAGTAACCCTTTGGGCCCTACCAGTTTGTTACCCAGAAGGCAGTATATCCAAGCGATGAGCAGCCAGTTCCTCCAGGAAAAGACTGACTGTGGGAAACAGGGTCAAATGCTTTGCTAAAATCCAAGTGAACAACATCCATTGCTGTTTCCTCGTCCACTCAGTAGGTCGTCATGTCATAGAAAAGATCAGATTATTCAGGCAGGATCTGCTTTTTATAAATGATTAGATGTGCTAAATACTAATTAGATGTGTTGAATGCTGAAAAACTCTCCTTTTTTGAAAGGTTGTATTCTGATTTTTTTTTCTGTCTGCTGTTATCTTATTGGTCTATCCAGATATCTACTTAAAGTTTTCATTTCATGTATGGCTGAAAAGTTTTAAGGATACTAGCGAATATTGCGGCTTTCTCTAGCTCAGCTTTTCTGACTGCTCATGTAGAATTTAGGCTTGTATTTCCTGCAGTCAGAAAGCAAGTAAGATGGCAGTAGCGTGTGACAAAAGTAGTGTAATCAGTTTCCATTGGCATGAATCTGCATAGGAGAGTCAAGATCTGTTCTCATCATCACATGCAGTTTCATGCTGATAATCACCAGGTAGGAACCTCACTAGAAAAAAAAAAGTTAACATCATTGAAAATCATCAGATGTCTTTAGTCATCACTTATGTCTACATTTAAATAGTTTCAGGTTTTGAACTTCACTTTCTATTGAGATCTCAGTGATTTCAGTGAGATTTTTCTTTAACGTTCTAAAAATAGACTTAATGTCATTACCATTTTTGAGAAGTCATTTACAATTACTTTGACCTATACCTTTATGTCAATATGCAAGTATAAAATGAAAATGTCATGAAATACCTCTGCACAGTATTAACTGTAGATCAGTTGTCACTTCCTCGGATCTAATCCCACTTTTTTGGCATAATAATGCAGGTAATTCAGTGGTGTCAGCAAAGTTCATATTGCAGAAGTAGCACACAGAAATCAGCAGCGCTTTGGTTTCTTTACTCAGGAGGGCCTTAGAGCTTAGCTTGTCTAGAAACTGACACCTTCCACCTCTAGACACCATGTCTCCTGCAGGTCACACATGACGTGGCTCAGGAAAGCAGTATGAGAGCTTCGTGGTGGCAGCCTGCCTGACACACTGCTGTGGACAGAAAGATTCACACCACTGCTTTTCTAACCTGCCAGCCTGCTAAGCGTTTGTGTGAATCTCCTTTCCATTTCCCCTTCGCATTCATACATAATTTCTCAAATTTGTATTTGGTAAGCAATTAATAGGTTTTGCCTTTGCTCCTAAGGTAATAAAAGATGTGTGCAACAACTGTACGGGCACTGTGGACTCTGACGGGCCATTGTCTAGTTCTCCGGTACACAAGACAGAGCTGGAAAAGGTAAGTTTACCAAAGTGATCAATGCTAACTTTCTCAGAACTATTATTGAGGCGCTGCTAGGCACTGCATGGTAGACTGGATGTTCTTTAGACCACAAAGGCTTTATCACTAATTTCCGAGGGCACGGTCTGTCCCTCTGGTGGCATCACACTGCACTCATTATTGTTGCATTGTACCCAGGAAATTAAGAGCGAAATATCTTCCACAATAGCTCAGGTGTTTTCTATGCACAAGCCCAAAGCAGCTGTGTTTGCATGCTTGCAAGCACCAGCACATCATTAACAAATGAAATGGAAATATCAATAAACAGTTGTATTCTAAAATGCTCACTTTAAAACAACTTTTCCATGGTTTCTTCTTGTAGTATTCTGTACATCTTCCTGTCTCCACCACTCATGAAGAATGTGGTGCCAGCATAATCTTTATCCCACCTCATCCTGTATCCCATACACAGCAATTATAGGATAATCGGTGCTAAAAATCTATTTCAAAAGCTCTTATTTTGCAAATACTGAAAATATTTAAGCACCAGGTAGGAATGCACTGTGTTCTGACAAGTTGGTATTGTAAATGCCTGTGTGAAGAAATTCTTAAAAAAAAATCATTTTAAAGTTTGTCTTATCCACATTCATTGTTTAGTAGATTATTCATTGCTTAGCAGGTTAATACACAGAGACACTGTACAATCTTGTAATGCATTTAGAACATAATGTGCAATGATTTTGTCACTTAGAAGGAAAATCTTTTGATGTAGACTTGTGATTTCTGTGCTATTCTAAATTCTGTATGGAACTATAAAAAATTATTTAAACCTGAATATTCTATTACCTTCTGTTTACCTTCAAAGTGGATCCGTGCTTGAAAAGTGCGTTATTCATAGCAGGCTTAATTTAAATTGACTGATGAGACTTAATGTGATGAAGGTGAGAATGTGGTGTGGCAGGGCAGCTGATCTCTTTGTTCCTGCAGAAGCTGTCATCTGAGAGACCAAGTTCAGATGGGGAGGGTGCTGCGGAAAATGGCATCACCACAGTGTGCAATGGAAAAGAACAAGGTATGTCTCAAATGCAGAGATGCTTACTGCAAAGAATATGTGCAAATATGAAGAGAGAGGAAGTAAAATAGATCTACCTTCTTTCTTTTTTTTAATAGTCAGTAATGCTTTTGAATTTTTACTCAGTGGGAAAAATCAGTATTAGTATAAAGAAACAGAATATAGAAATTTTGATTTGACTTTTTGTCTATTCAGAGGTACAGTTTTTTAAGGACAAGAGCGACCACTATAGGCAACTAACAGTTGCTTATGGTAACTCTAACTGTACAGCAGGAATATAAGTAGTGGATGTATAGACTTTAAGCAAAAAAATCCCTATATCTCTGCATGTTAGAAGGAAAGGATCATACATATATATGAATATATATCTCAGTTTATATGTGTATGTGTCTGCACACACAAAAAAATAAGTATTATGTATGATTGTATATATTAATATACTGCAATGTACATAATCATGTTATATCAGTGGGTTTGTGTTTATATATTCATGTAATTTTAAGCGTGCTGCTTTGGAGCCATGCATATCTTGTAATCTGTGTTATCAGAGGCACAACTCAAGCTGATGGCATTTTCCCTGAGTTGTATCTAAAAAACTCAACGTCTGTGCTCTTACCTCCACACCCTTTGTTTTCTCCCCAAAGGAAAGGAAATTATGTGATTTCCTTAACAGGCTGTGTAGCAGTGGTATCATCTAGATGGCACAAAATTGATGTTTTTCTGCAGCTGTGAAGGTGAAGTGTAATGTGAGCTGCAGGAAACACCGTGTGTCGATACTGGCTTTGGTGCCAGCTGCCAGCCCTGTCTTGCCTTTTCATTCATTCCCACTGTCTTCTTCCTGTGTCATTTTTCCAGCATTTCCTCACCATCCAGATCTCTGACATACCCAGTAGAATGGAACAGTGTCAGTTATTGTGGTTTCCAGAAGCTGCAGTACATGCTTATGTTTCACAGCATAACTGCTAAGCTTTCAGAAAGCCCACTGCTCAGGTTTTAATCTCTGCAGCCCAGTGATCAGCTCTGTCATACAGAGTTCATCCAGGTGTTGTCCAAGACATCCCAGAGTGACCGGTGGCTCAGGTGCCCTGCAGGAAGCATTCTGATGTGTTGCAAGGTAGCCAGAACATCTGCATTGGTGTTTACTGGAAAAAAAAACATCCACACCCAAAAACCACTTTTTTGCCCTCAGCACTGCATTTAGCAGGTGTAAGATTTATACGATCTTGGCCACAGATACAATTACTAAATCATTTTCCATGTTTGCTAGCAATTAAGCTAAACATGATAAATTATGCCCTTGTGAGTCTCAAACTGCTATTCTGTTTTCCGTGTATTCCTCTTCCCATTTCAGATCATTTCAGATAATTCTTTTTCATGTGAACATTTTGTTCTTTTTCTCCTTGTTTACACAAGCCCATAACTATTAAACTTTCTGTTTGGGGAAGTAGGAAATGGAGCTAAGGATGTGAGGGGTAAACTTAAAGCAGCTCCATCAGTAACTATCCTACATGTAATTTCCTTCTGAATCATAAATCAGGGTAATTACATGGGTAGATTTGCTACCCTGTAAGTTAACAGATTGACTTTTGCTCTGTTGATGGAATCCAAATCCATTGAATGTCATTTCTGAAACAAAGATTTTTTCATTATTTTTGGTTTTATTTTGCAAATAAATTGCCTTTTCCTTTTTTTTTAAAATTTTTTTTTAGAACCTTTTTTTCTTATTTTTCTGCTAGTTAGAATTTTAGTCAGATATGCAGTTTTAAAAGTGATATCCACAGTCTTTGCTCTGTTACTTTCATGGCTCAGTGCACAAACTGGAGGTTAGCAAGATCTCTCCTTTCAGCAGGCTTTGTATTTTTTGTGATCAGCAATCACGATCACAAAAAGTGCCAGCTTTTAATCATTGAGTGCTTATAGTGATCGCATTAATTTACTTGTTAATAGCTAATTTATAAGTCTTGTCTTTCTGAAAGGCCTATTGTGATTAGATTCCTTAACAACAGAGCCATTTTTGCTGGGCAAGCATATTATGTCTTTGTTAATTATTTGTTGCCTTTTATTAAATGAGTGTTTAGAATGGTGTCTGATCATCTGGCTGAATTTTTATTCTCATGTATAGGTGCTGAATAGTTTGTTCATATTGATAAATTTACACAGTGACTGCTTTGGAAAGAGACTTCAAGCTGGATTAGATGAAATTAAATTAAAAGTTTGATTTTTGTTTTTCTTACCCTTCCAAATACCATGATTTTTGTAGCAAAAAGGTGATTTATGGGCATCAGTATTCAGGAGGCATATAATGTTTATCTCATGGCAGACTGCAACTGAACAAATGTTTACTTTACATTGTTTGCCAAAGCTACTTTTTTTATTCAGATTTTCTCTGTTGACTACATAATTTAAACACACTAAAATGCAAACTTTTGCTTTCTTAATAGTGAAGAGGAAAAAAAGTTCAAAAACAGAAGCCAAGGGCACTGTGACTAAAGTAACAGGGAAAAAGATAACGAAGATCATTGGTTTAGGAAAGAAAAAGCCATCAACAGATGAACAGACCTCATCAGCTGAAGAAGATGTTCCAACATGTGGTCAGTTGTTTTTCTTCTTGGGTCTTTAAGGCAGCTTGTGACTAGAAATTTTTAACGTTCTAGCCTAGAAAGTCCCATGAATTTGCTTTTACTGCTGTAATTTTTACCGCTGCATCAGAAAGGTGCACTCAGGTTGAAAGACTAGAGTAATCAAGAGCTTATCAAAGAGTCTAGAAGAGTTTGACTTTTTAAATAAAAGAGTAGCACAGGCTTTGAAGGAAATGAGCTGTTTTCAAACCAATAGGTATAAAATAGGTTGGATTATAAAATAAATTTACACTTCATTGTAGAAAAAGCTTCCTGGTAAGCAATCAAGTATTTTTGATGAGTTTATATGCAATGGCAATGATGACAGCAGCCACATGGTCTCAGATGAAGTTATTTGACTTTAATTGTTGGTTCCTAAAATGCTGCCTATTGGACAAATTTCTAGAAAGCTATTTTAATTGCTAGTGTTGATCACTGTTAATGACAGCTGTAGTGCTTGACAACACCAAGAAAGTACATAAGAAAAGACATATAGAAAATGCAAATAGCTCAGTTTTGCATCTGAGCTGTTAATATTTGCTTGCTATTTAGGACTTTTGTAATGCATTTAGCCAGTTTCCTCATGGCTCTGTATTTTTGAACAATGCAATGCACTCACATTCTCCTCTTTGCCTTTTGGTGCTCTAGTACTAAGTAATGGCTACTTATGTGAACAGATTTGTTCCCGTCCTTCTTCCAATCTTTAAAAAAAAAAAAAAACAACAAAAACTCCAAAAAGCCATACCACCAGAACTGTGAAGCAGTTGCACAGTTTTGAATTTGGCTTGGACTTTTCCCCTTTAATTGATTAGGAAATCTTGGGAAACCTAGAAATCTGTGATTAGGCAGCAGCTGGCAGAAATCCTTCCTGCATGAAGTATAGTAGATGCTTGCCCAGTGTGAAAGAAGATTCATGGACCACCAGTGAGAACTTCATAGATTGCAGATGGCTCTCAAGGCCACTTTGGGAATAATTCCCATAAGAAATCTTTGATTAAATAAGTGTGTGCATATGTCTGTATATCAACTAAGTAAAGATGTGATTTGTCAAGTAAAGGAACAGCTGGGAAAAGCTGTGTCCAGCCAGATGCATTGTCCAAACCATCTGGCTTTCATAAAACTTCTAACTTCCTGGGTCTCATAGTCTGTTGATTATTCCATATTATGTGAAATGTTAACCACAGCTGTACAATCTAATTCCGAGTGCTTCTACCATTATTTCAGATATGGGCATGAGTATAGCCATTACTATTGTCTGCATTTGGCTACACCACTTGCAAATTTTATAGAAAAATGTAAGTGTCTAGGCTTTAGTCATGGCAGAAAGTCTTTGCAGAGTTTCTCACCACCAGAAATTTGTCTGAGTGCAGAGCCCTCTGGGAGGTTGCTCTGTAGTTGAAGGCTTTTACACTTTAGAATGTTCTGCCTTACATCAACAAAGGAAAAGCCCAATCACACTGCAGGGGACACCCAGCTAGAGTGGAAACAGAAACAGAAACCCACCTGCACTTAGAGTCATAGCAAGGCTCCTCTCTCAGCATCACTGGTCTTTGGCCACATGAACTAAGTTGAAGTGCTAATGCCCCAACTGGAACAACATTCAAGGCGTTTTGGTCACATTAAATCTTGAAGATTTAAGTAAGACTGTTGTGGAGGAAGAATACGGAGAACTGCTTATTTAAGCAAAATATGAAGAGTTAGAAGAACTTTTCTGAGAGCTGCATAAGGAACAGAGGATGGGGAAAAGTAATGTCTGAAAAAAAGACTCTTCAAAACTAGCCAGCTGGCTTGCACATGAAGGGTTTTCCATTTCTAGTGATTCTATTATAATACACAGCTATACAGGTTTTTTTGTTAGAGGAGGAGGGAGGAGAGTTGGAGAGGATGATCATCACAAGGAGCCAAAATCACAGAACTGAGTACATCCTCCTTTTTTACGGCATCTTCCAAGTTGTGCGCAATTCTGATCTGCTATATCCTGTTGGATCAAGCTTTGACATTGGAATTGTGATATTGGAAAGGAAATCCAGAAAAAATAATGATAAGTCATAGTTCTAATGAAAACCAAAGAGATAGCTATCCAACATGATTAAGTGTTTAAATGAAAATCAGACCTGAGATAGAGGAAAAATTTTTTACATAGATCCTGGTCTGTGCAACGTATCACTTCTATGGAGTGTTTGGAAACAGCAGCATACTGAATTGATGTACCTGTAGTGAGGAAGCAAAAGTAAAACATGGTTGATGTTTTTTTTTAGTTTACATATGAACCAGAACAGAAAAAATTGGACATTCATTGTCTTGATTTTGATGTCTGGAATGATTATTGCTATGGGAATGAGAAGAAATAACTGCTATTTAATGGCTCTGTATGCCTAGATAGTGCGTACATCTGGCATTCAGAATGACAAGGAAAGCAGGGTTTGTTTAAAATGGTATATATTCATGGAATTTTGATTTGTTGCAAGGACATGATTTAGTAGGCAACATTGGTGGCAGGTGGATAGTTGGACTAGGTGATGTTATAAATTTTTTCAAACCTTTGTGATACGATGATTTTGTTCTATGATTTTGTGATATATTGTTGGGGAAAAAGAAGGAAAAAAACAACAAACACGTCTTAAAGGTGTGCTAAATTAGCTAACTTCATATTCATTAAACTCTTGAGTTTTAAGTGAGTATTAGTTTATTTCTGTCAATGTGAATATTGACCCATTAAATTCTTATTTAAGTGTGTTGCATTCTTCTTTCTAAATGAAATCAGAAAAGGTAGCATCAGTGTGTAAACCTAACAGTGCTAATCTGTTTATTTTACTGGCAAAGCAGACATTGAGTGGAGGAATCTTAGAAGGTTTGTAGGATACTGTGAATGTTGTTAACACATCACTTAATTATATAACAGGAGCTTTGATTTTTCCAGAAGATTTGGGCAGTCATGGTTATATAGCAATTATAAACTGAGCAGGTGGGTCTTCTGTGAAAATCTGTATGAGCACATCAGCTGTGTATTTAGCTTGTTAACACCCTCCATCTCCCATTTAACTGAAGTCATGGTCATTGGTAAGCTCCAGCTTATCCAGCCATTGCAGTGACTAATACAAAAAGCCACTTTCAGGTGAGCAGGATCACATCTTTACATGATTTTTTGCTAAGTTATTGGCACAGTGAAATTTTGCATTGAAGAAGTGGGGCAGAATCATTTACTTGTCTTCCTAAAATCCATCTGGTCTTCCTATTACAAGAGAAATAATTTGTTTAAGTGATAACATTATTTTGAAAATAAGTGGACTTTTTTCTTTTGTTTTTCAAAAAAACTTAGAAGTAAAGGATCTCACATTTCATTTCATTGCAGGATATCTCAATGTGCTCTCAAATAACCGTTGGCGTGAGCGCTGGTGCCGAGTGAAAGACAATAAACTCATTTTCCACAAGGACAGGACAGATCTGAAGACACATATTGTTTCTATCCCTCTCCGTGGATGTGAAGTCATCCCAGGACTGGATTCAAAGCATCCCCTGACCTTCCGGCTGCTTCGAAACGGGCAGGAGGTTGCTGTGCTTGAGGTGCTGTGGATCTGATGGCTCTGACTTATAGAGACAACCACAAACTAAATTAGGGAAGCACTGTCAAACAACGTGACATTTCCAAAAATGTGCGGACTAATGTTATTGTAGAGATGGGTAATAAATACTGGAAGGAGAAAGGAAGATAGGAGTTGTAGGCAAAAGAAAAAATAAGATTTAGGAACAAGTCACATAACGCACTTCAGAAATGTCTGTAAGAAGCTTTTCCCTGCATTGACCTTCCTTTGACCTGGTGCTAAATTGTCTGTTCTCCTTTCTAGGCATGCTTTTTTATCAGAGATATGGTCCTTTTGGGTAAATAACTTAGTTCTAGTTAAATAATGAATCACTGTTGATGGGAACTCTAGAGTTCTTAGCTCTCATTTTTTTGCTGTATATGTTAGCCACTTTTGCTCAGTCTGAATTTGTGTCTTTCATTAAGAAAGACATTGTGCCAGTAACCTACTGAGTCTCTTTTTACACCCCTATGTTAGCTGCACAGTAACTGTGTGCCTGTAGGTGTGGGAAGAGAGAAGAGCACAGAGCTGTGGTCCTTGCAGCCTGGACAGATGCCAGTCTGACCTGTGGAAGGATCCAGGCTCTGATGGGATCTCATTTCATGGAGCAGAATTTGACTGAAGATAACTGGCAAACTTTGCCAGTTTGCCTTTGATGACTGTGCCACTCTGCAACAAATTCAGGAGCAAGTTATAACTGAAAAGTCAAAATGAAACTTCAAAAAATTATGTCAGATCTTGTTTTCAGATCTTGTTAAAATTGGATTTTGAAAAGTGGTTCAGGATTTGGCAGGAGATATTTGTCTGTTATATTTTGAAAGAAGAAAGCCACTTAAAGCCAGGTATAGTGGAGGTCATGGTAATCCCCTATCCTTGAAGGTCCTATTGCATGTGAGCAGTTCAGAGTTTGAAAGAAAGCATGTCAAGAATCTGAGAAAGACCATAAAATATTAAAGTAGTGAGAAATTTAGAAATCACACACTTTTCTTTTTTCCTTCCTTGTTTTCACTTATTTATTTTGCTACTGTTCAGATTTGAATTTTTAAAAATGAGTTTTAAAGTATTTGTACTTCTGCCACTTAAAAAATAAACACCGTCAGGTAGACATATGCAAATTGAATCTTTCAAAAAACACAAATGAAGTTTCTTCTACTAGTTCAAGTTTCTTTTCCACTCATTTCTACTTGGCAATAATGTTTAATTCTCAGGATTTATCCGTACTAAAATCTGTCTAGGAAAATAATTCAGTTCCAGCTTTCAATTTTCTGAAGTCTAAAATAAACATGACTTGAATCTAAATCAACTAGTCTTAAATGATTATTTTTATTTCTTTTGCGGAGATTGCCCACTTTGTATTACATCATAGCTGATGAGCACACGGCTTACTTAAAATGCAGTCCTTCTATCAAAACAGATTTAATGAGAAATCCTGGATTTTCTGACTTCAGCAGGAGGAAACCAGAGCCTCTTGTATAATATGGTCAGCCAGGAAGAATGCTGTATTTTGAAACAATGCTGTGACTACCTCACTTTGGTGGTGGACCAAAGACTTGACGTAGGGTTTTGCATTCTCCTTACAGGCATCTTCCTCTGAAGACATGGGCAGATGGATAGGGATGTTGCTTGCAGAAACGGGATCTTCGACAGACCCTGGAGCTCTGCACTATGACTACATCGATGTGGAAATGACAGCAAGTGTCATCCAGGCTGCAAAACAGACCTTCTGGTGAGAGGCATTCGGCTACCCGGTTGTTTTCAGTACTATGAGAATTTATATCTGCACATTAAGTCTGATGCCAAGAGAGCTTATCAAATCCCCTCAGCCTCTTTGCCAGATCTTGAAGTCCTGAAGTGTCTCAGCATTGCAGTATGGTAGATGTGTTTAAGATTATCTTGTTGGCATCTTGCTAAAGCTCTGTTAAATGCAGACACCAGCCAACTTTACTCATGTCTTGACTCATTTTTAAGTGAGTCTCTTTATTAACCACTATATTTTGCTTGAATCCTTAGAATTAACCCTGGAAAAAGACAATTATGCTGAAAAGTAAATAAATACATGGGTACATAGTTTGCAATCATTTACTTATTCACTATATAATATTTGTGTCTTAACAGAACCACTAGAAATGTGCATCAAATTTAACTGTGAGTCACCTTCTCAGTGTTTCCTTCTCATGTCCTTTTTTGATTAATTAAGAATTACATCAAGCCAGTTCAATTTATTTATAGCTTGTAATTGTGAAGGTGGAAATTGGGAAGCACTCTCGGCTGCAGCACAGAAATTCTGTTTAAAATGCAAATTGGTCCTTCATCACTGATCCTGTGTTAAGAAAAATAGCGCATACTTTGTATGTACAGCAATTTACATGTGCAAATTAACTTTGACACTAAAGCAGTCTCCAGTGGGAAGAGACTCTCATTTTTCCTGGGATTGATGAGACTGTTTAGAAGCAGGAGTGAGGGAATGACTGGGCCGCAGTAGATCTCCTCTGCAGATGTACGCTGTGGTTTGCTGGGGTCAGAAGGCAAGTGGCCTGACAAGACAGTTTGGAGAGGTGTCATCCCTCATCTCAGCCAAATGAGACTCTCTAGGGATTCAACAAATGTGAAATTTGTGTGACAATACATTAGAGAATCACACTTCATCTGCCTATCATAAAAGATCAATAACACCAAAAAAAGAAAAAGAAAAAGCTTCAGAGTTTTCCTAAAGAAAACACTTGCACTTACTATGTGTTAAGAAAGCTACAGCAAGAGAAAATGCTTAGCTTCATTCAGGATCTATCTTGAATGTCTTTAGATGGAAATCAAAGTGACTCCGTGTTACCACAATCCCAGTTCTGTGAAAACCAGATAGTTTTGATAGAATCAAAATGCACTGTGCTTATAGACTTATGTTAATATTTGTTTTGAAGTTAATAGGGTTCAAAAAGTTTATCCTGTGTTGACATGTGTTTTTGCTTCAGTCAGCATCTCACAATAACCACATTTAAGAAAGAAACAGAATGGAAACCTTTCGCCCCCAAATACTGCTTGGCTTTCCTTTTCTGAACAAATGTGATATTAATTGGAGCCAAGTGAAAAAACATATGCGACTAGACCACATGTTAGAAAGGAATGTCAAACAACTTGCAAAATAGCAAAATCCCCTATTAAAAATTAGTTAAAGTTCATTGGGTGTCTCTAAAAGTCTGTATGAACTTGTCAGAAAGCAACTAGAGTAGCCATGTGCTGATGTTCAACTATTCCTAGAAAAAGAGAGAAAATGACAATGATATTAAAATATTATTGCCACCCTTTTTAGAATGAATATTCGTATTCCAATTTAACTGTGGTTGTCATTATGGTTTGGTGAACATTCAGTCACTTCAGACTTTTCCTGAGATTGATGCTCTGCCAAATAATTGGTTCTTCATTAATTATCTCATCAATTTTCTGTATGTGAATCATTAGGCTTCTAGGAAAGCCTGAATGAAAATTGTTTCCAAGCAGTTTTTTCCATTGGCTTTCCCATTTAGCAGTTTCAGAATGCAATTAACTTATGTGGATGCATCTGTAAACTAGTTTAATGAGGCTCAGTGTAATAATGTTCATGAAGTGTTTACTGATACTTAGATAAACTTTAGCTTTCTTTGCTGATGGAAACAGTTATGGCAGGTGCATCAGATCTTGTTAATGAATATCCCAGTTTTCAAATGTGTATAATACGCATTGCTTTCAATGAATCTACTTAAATAAGCAGAAGCATAATAACAGCTCTGAATGTAGTCCTTCAGGCTAACCAGAAACAATTGAGTAATGTTCTTCATTAAGAGAAACAGTAGATAAATGCATCCCTTTAATAATGTCTAATGAAGTATGAGATAAAACAATTTTTATCCTGGCATTTATGGTAGGCTTTTTATTGTTTGTTTCTTTTAAAAAAGAAAAGCTTCTGGCTAGTGATTATGCCATTTTATGCCCTGCCTGTGCATTTTACTGGGGCTGAGGCAGGTCTAAAAGGCTCACACTCAACTGAGCAAGTTCATTCCTCCTGCAAGCCTGGGTCTCCTGAGACTCAGGTGAGCCATTGCTGGATCACATCCGTCTCCCTCAGAATACCTATTTCAATGGTTTAGATGTTATTTCAAAGCCAAAAGAAAGCAAATGTTAAAACCACAGAATTCCTGAGCTTTGGCCAGCACTACAGAAGACCCTCTCAGCTTTAGCAGGGCTTTGTCATATTTTATGAATATCAGCGCAGAGCCTGAATAGTCCCATTGTTTGAGATGGAAAGCTTTGTGTTCCCTTTCACTTATACCTGAATCTATAGGAATTATTTGGAATCTCACTCTGTACCTCATTTAGTTTCAGAGCTTGCTAGGAAAGAAAACTAACCTTTGAGGTTGTTACAGCCTTTGGGCTTGAATCTTCCAGTTTCTGCATTTTTAGATCTTTGCTCTGAACACAAATCCCACTGTACTCTGTGATACTATGCATGTGTTCTTCAGAATTCCTGTAAAAGAAGCAACAGTACTGGTTCTGAGGAGAGCAAACAAAAGCAAAATTATTTGTCCCTCTTGAAGCTTTTAGAGGGCTCTTCTCCACTGTGTGAAATGCAGTGGTAATGAGAACAGGGTCTGTTTGTATGTAAAGTTGTCCAGGTGGAGAGCTAGGAAGCACACTGCCATTGTACAGACTCCACACAGCCAAAAGTTGGGACATGGACATGAAAAATCCCCAGAATATGGGAAGAATGATTCGTGGATGGGCTGACTTACATTTCATCAGAGTTCCACCTTTTTCTGTTTTTCAGTTTTTTGCTAGATTATTCATTAATTAATTCATTCATTATTTTTTGCTTGATTATTGCTCCTCCGTATTCCCAGTTTGTTTCCCCCTGACCATGTGTGCACTCAGAAACACCTGCTTCTCGTGCATGCAGACAGCAAGGGAATGTTTATGGGACACTGGCAAGTTGGTTTATAACATAGATCAGCAGGTTCCCATGTAAATGTGCCAGCGATTGGTTACAGCTGTTGCCATCCTGGTTTTCACACAGTCTTATCCTTGCTCTCAGAGTACAGTATGGAAACACATGGTGTAATATTGGCTGCTAGCAGCAACATATGAGTAGCAAAAGAAGGAAAGCTGTCCACAGCATTCCTGCAGAAGATGAGAATATATGTGCTTCCAGGCTACAGAATCTGACACAGGGAATGTACCACAGAATCATCATTTAGACTTGGGTTCAAGTGCTGTTTTTTATTATTTTTATTTTGTTTTATTCAGTTTTATGAACAGGCGAGTTATATCCACAAATCCATACCGGGGAAGCACTGCCAATGGCTATGCATGTCCGAGTGGAATGGCACTTCATTACGATGATGTTCCCTGCATAAATGGATCGGTAAGAATTGAATTTACACAGCACAAATGGTTTGCATGTGTTGAATGCATGGACATCTGAAAATTATATTATCTAAAAAGGCCCACTGGGCAGATTCCAAATGAAGTCCTATTTTTCATACTGGGGACTGCAAACTTCCCTCACACCTATAGAGTATTAGGGGTGTGGGACATATTGCTTACATTAACCTGTACATGAGCCAACATGCATTTAGAAAGCAGTTGCCTGTTGATGATTTGTTGCCAAGTCCTTGAATATAATACTGACTCAAGGGGATATTTTTCAGATCACACTGAAGCTGGCAAAACTAAGTACTCAGTTACACCAGGTGCATTTTGGTGTCTGTTAAAAACATACAGAACATTTTTCTGTCCCTGGGGATGTGTTCCCCATGAGAGCAGGTATTGCACATCCCAAAGGAGAGTCATAGGGGTTGATTCCATCCACATAATACACAGAGCTGATCACAGTCAGCTGTGAAATCGGTTCTAATGTATAATTTACCCATAGTGATATGTGATCCTCACAATTTACAGGGCAGATACAGCTCATGGCAGCTTTTAATTTGGGCTGTTTGGTAAATGCTCCCACTAAGGCTGAGATCAGAAAAAATTATTGTTTCCAAGTGCCAAGTGAACTGCAAGCAAAGTCCTCCATCATTTCTTCGTAATGTCAGAAAGATGGTAGAAAAAAAAACCTTTTAGGAACTGCAAGCAACAGCATGTGGGGCGAGTAGTCTGTGTGTGTAGTTCTTGGATGTGCTCAAGCCTTTGTGTGAGTAGCATACTGCCACAGCCAGAATGGATTAAGGAAGGATATTTGGCAACCAGGCCCATGATTTCTTTTAAGATTAATTGAATGAATCACTGGAGTATTGTTGTTGAGCTTTCCATTTTTCTGAAGAAAAAAAAAAAAAAAGGAAATGGCCTGTAGTTATTATTTTAGATAGTTAGCTCAGAATGATAATCTTCCAGCAAGTAAAATGTAATACTAGCATATCAGCAGCTGGTATTCACTGCAAATACATATAGCCTGAAGAAGGAAAAAAAAAAAAAAAAAAAAAGGAAAAAAAGCCCATTTTGGCATGTGCTAGCAGTTAGGCATTATTGCTTTTAACAACTCATGTACCAGATGTAATCCCACAGATTCATCTGTGCAGCCCATGAGGGTCCCCCTGTTAACACATTCTCCTTGTGCCCCCTCAATGCTGAGCTAACAACTGACGATACAGTCTGTGAGCAGAAAGGGTAATAGGATAGCATCAGCTTGCTCATGCAATGGAAAATGCAAAGGCTGTGAGCCATGTAATACAATGCTTCCTTTCCATTCTGTGCCTTCCCCCCCCCTTTCTGAGTAGTTAGCTTCAAGAGTAAGCAGTGAGCATAGGCTTGCTAAATGTGGAGGGCTTGCTATAGTCAGAAATCTTACTAATGTTTTAATTTCACTCAGGTTCTGCATGAGGTATTGTTTACTAACTGCCAAAGTGTGTGTATTGCAGTGGGAACCAGAAGATGGCTTTCCTTCTTCTCGTAGCAGGAACATGGGAGAAGAAATGCTTTATGATAACGCAGGCCTGTACGATAACTTGCCGTCTCCAAAAATCTTTGCGCGCTATCCGCCAGCTGACAGGAAAACCAATAGGTTATCTACTGACAAACTCTCCTCTAACCATTACAAACACCCTGTCTCATCCAATCTGTCTTCTGCTCAGTCTGTCACTAATACCTCTGCTGTGGGGAGGGGATCTGTCTCGCAGGTACTGTACTATTTAATACTTGATAACACTTTTTATTTTTTTGGCTGTTCTGTTTATCTGATTGTTATGTTAAGGACGTTGGGCTATTTCAGTCACTGAGCACTGAAGTGCTTGTGGGTCAGTCACCAGACTGCTGCCAATAAAACAGTTTTGCCAAGTGATACATGGACAAGGTTTTCCTCATGAGCTCATGATGATTTTCAGATTGTAGGTAGTACCAAGCAGATAGATGTGGCCTTCTATGCTTAATCTGAACACATATGTAGTTTCCTTCTATGTCCTTGGCATACAGTAGTGGCTTCAAAATTAAAAAGAAAAAGAAATATGACTCGGTTGTGACAGCAAATTCACATATCTGGAATGATTAAGCTATATATTATATATGTATAATATAATATACAAATACTAAATTATATGCACCATATTCAAATAACTGCTGGTTATTTTCTTCCTGACCTTGGTCTGCTGCATCAGGCTTCTCATTCCACTTTCTTTTCAGTCCTTTAAAGGTTTTTGAAGGAGATGATGAAGATGCCAGGGCACAGATGTGTTTGGCTAACATATTCTAGGTGGAAATGTGAGGAGTAGGCAGCACAATGTTTTTCATCCTTGGTTTCATTTTTTTTAATAAGAAAAATTTTTAGAAGCTTGCAGTTGTAGAATAGAAAATAATGTGTTAACTCTTAACATTTAAAAATGTGTAACAACTGAATCATTTTGAAACAAAAACACATGTACCACAAGGTTATATAATAAATAAGAAAGTGTTGAATTTTTCTGTGGCAAACCGTGTTGAGCAATCAATGAGGGCAATCAGTGTTGAAAAAACTGTGTTTCAGGAATATTTACTATATGAAATTATTATAAGGAACAACTATTCTGCCTCACAGTGGCTATATTAGTATAGTAAATGCTTGATGTTCAAATAATTTGGAAACCATGGTGCCACTAGAAACGGGGTGTTCATCCCCTCATTATTCTGTGATTCCTGTTGATTTCCCTTCTGGGATCCAGCTAAGCAGGCTGCTCTCAGAGACCAAGTCCCTGGAGAATGCTTTGTCTCTAGCTGGATCAATGCAATCTATTAAGGCTCTCTGAGCAGGCAGCTTTTTGTCAAGATTTGCCCTTGATGAGTGGATAACTGCCATGCCAGTAGCACAGGAGTAGCTGAGGCCCATTTCTGCTTTTGTTTTTAAACAGTTTAAAGGCAAGAAGCCTCCTGCAACTTCTAACGGGATCACTGCAAAAGTGAGAACATTAAATAGCCAACCGAAGAAACCTGACTCAGTGTCATGTGTGAAGCGCACAGCATCCAGTAAGTATTTCTACTCACTGCTACCACTGTGAATGGAATCATGAGGGTACCCAAGACAGCTGTCTTCTCGGTAAACAAGATGAATAGCCACTACAGCTCTTCTGTATCTGAGGGACTGGGCAGGAGATGCCCACCGTGACACCAAATGGGAGACACTGTGTGCATTAGTGACTCATTATTACTCCAGCCATGCCATGATGTAAGAGGTTGTAATGTGGAGAGTGATAAATGTATCTCTGTGGCTGCAAAAAGCCATGAGAGCAGAAGGAAAAAAAATTAGTAATGATTCTTCATTTGGATTGTAAGGTAATTTTGTATTCCTGTGGGAAGAGGAGCGTGAGAAGCTAGGAAAGTCATGAGAACATTATGGTGCTCATAAGAAAAATTACTCTTATCTCTAATGAAAAAGATATAACAAAATAATGAAAACAAATGTACAGCTTAAAAGCTTCCTTAGAGAGATGAGATTTCAGACTATAAACAGCAGATTCAGAATATGGATTCCTCTGGGCAGGTGGATTGCCTGTAGGTAATATGAGTACATCCTTTCTGAGATGGAGGTTCCGAAAAGAAATTTTATAGGAAGAAAGTATGAGGAGACTTGTCAAATTTCCAGCCCTCGAAATTTTTAATAATTAAAAGCAATCCTAACAGAGAGAGTTTCCCTTAAAAAAGAAAAGACAACAAAGACCTATAGTTGTAATTTTTAAGATTTGGATTCCAAAATTTGGCTTCTGCTAGTGAAGGAATGAATGTGACTTTTTGAGACTATGGCAATTTTTTCAGGAGTCATGGATTTAAAGGGAATATAAGAAAATAAAGTTAGGTTTTTAGGATTAAAAAATTGTGTCTTTCCAACTACACAAGTCAGTTGACATTGGAGTAGATTGTTGGAGACAAGGCGTCTCAGTTACCAGTGGCTGACTTAAACTGGTTAGGCAGCTGTTTCTCAGGAATAGTTTAGGTACAATGGATGGCCTACAGATATGCAGACAAGCTGATCTGTGGGGTGACCTATTTCCTTTAAGTTGCTGCAGGAGCAGAGGTATAATTGTGTCTGTGAAATGAATTAGAACACATATATGTGAGCCAGGAAAAAAAAGCACTTCTATGGGAAATAAAAAAGAAGAAGAAGAAGAAGGAAAGAAAGAAAGCTTATAAGTATCAAACTGAGAATGTCATTTTGTTCTATTCAGTCAGGTGAGAAAAGACATGTGCTTTAGGTACTAGAAATAGAAATGGAAGCTAGCTAAAAAGGGCAAATGTAGTTTTTCCTTTGACCACTTCAAATTAAAAATCAGGGCTTCTGAGATAAATAGAAGCTTTCTTTCCTTGCTCTGAACTACAAAGAAGCTCAAGGCATTTTTAAAAAACACTGTAATAAAACCTAGAGATTAAACTGTCTATCCTGTAGTATTTCCTTAGCTGTGCTTCAGAGCTCAGCAGGAATCACATAACTTCAGAAAAAGCCAGTGGAAGATGGATGTCCTCCAAACATGAAGTGCATCATGTGATGTTTCAGTTCCAGGTATAGTTTTGGGTTTTACTGTTAGTTGAACTGAGTCATTGAGGTAACGAGCTGCCTGAACAGCTGAGGAAGCACATGTACACTCACACACATCTATTCTATAAAGGCTTGATTAACCCAAAGTTAGATTGAGGAGGGTTAAGTTTTTTGTGTCTACCATTTCAACCTGTGACCAGAGTTTAAATGGCAGCAGACAGGGTCCAACTGGATCAAATAAATAATTACCATCTAATATATACAGATGCAGAACAGTACAAATATGGTAAGAATCGCGTGGAGGCTGATGCAAAGAGGCTACAGAGCAAAGAAGAGGAACTGCTAAAGAGGAAAGAAGCGCTGCGGAATAGGCTGGCCCAGCTCCGAAAAGAAAGGAAAGATCTACGTGCTGCCATTGAAGTGAATGCTGGTATGAGATGCTTTTTTGTGCTCAGTCCTGCCTGTGGCATTCTGTGATGAAGAGATGCCATTACATGAAATTTGGTCTTGATGTTAAATTATACTCTGTAATATCTGTATTTCGTTTTTACACATACACAAATTTTGTATGAAGATGTGTGCGTACATATAGATAAACACACCTATGAAATGATAGTGATGCATATGTAAAGCAAGCATAATATGGGAATAATTTTATTGTGGCTAGCTAATTATGTTTTCATTACATGGAAAAATAACAAAAACATTGATTTGCAATTAGACTTCAAATCTAGGAAAGGAGCCTGAAAGAACGCATTTGCTTCCCATTGCTGAACTTTTTACATGACAAATGTTTTTCTGCAAATTATAAAACATTCTTATGAAGTGATTCTTTGAGCCCTTCTTTTTTTTCTTTTTAAAAAAAGAAAATAATTTTTGTAGAAGTGTCAATTAAAGCTTCCTGTTGAAATAACAACATTGCTGTGGATGACAGGCAGGAAGACCCAAGTGATTCTTGAAGACAAGTTAAAGAAGCTGGAAGAGGAATGTAAAACAAAGGAGGCTGAGCGTGTAAACCTGGAGCTAGAACTGACTGAGGTGAAAGAGAGCCTTAAGAAAGCCCTGGCTGGTGGCATCACACTGGGCTTGGCTATTGAGCCCAAGTCAGGAACATCAAGTCCACAGGTATGCAGATTCCAAGACAACAGGGTGGCTCCATTAAAATAAGTGGGAAGTCAGACTTTTCCAAAGGTTTATGAAGCACATGAAATAAGAACAGAATTGTTTTTTTTTTTGATCATTACCTGTATTCTTCATCTCTGTGCAATATACTTTCTAGAGCAGTGGGGAGCAAGAAGAAGGGAATCACAAGTTGTATATATAACTTAGTATTTGTGTTAGGATAACGCTCAAAAGCTGACTCCCCCTTGTCCTCAGTGTTTGTAGACAGAGTTTGTAAACTGAGATATTTCTCATTCCCAAGAAGAGATTTAAATACACCGTATCATCATGCAGTGACTGAGATCTGCTTGTTTTGGTCACACTGTCACCCTTTGCAGTGACTACCTCCTACACATTGGTGATGGAGTATGGTGTCCTGGCTGCAGCAGCTGGGTAATTGTATCACAGAGATCATACAGCCATGTGTCAAACCGTCCCCATTACCCACTGTCATTTTATTACAGAAAATGAATTTTCATTAGAGAACATACACTCTATTTTTGTTCTACCTCCTTTTTAATTTATTCATCATCATCATGAATACAATTTCTTTAAAAGTAGTTTCTGCATTTCTAAGTCTAAGCATTATTGCCTCTGTGACTACTTGGAGGAAACTCAGTGTATGGTTTTCACTCTTTATTAGTCCCCAATTTTCAAGCACCGAACTTTGGAAAACTCTCCAATCTCCAGTTGTGATACCAGTGACACCGAATGCTCAATACCTGTGAACAGTGCAGCAGCTCTGAAGCGACCTCCCTCATCGAATAGTTCTCCATGTCGGGGGCATGTACTTCGAAAAGCAAAGGTGAGAAGACATATATAGTTTTCTTTCTCTGTCCTTTTTCTTACGTACTTTAAAAAAAAATACATGTTTACTCTGGAGAGATGAGAGAGAGAGAGAGAGGGAAATACTGGCTCTTTTTTCTGTGGGTGAAATTTAGCTTTCAGAAGTGGCAGTGCCATGTCAAGATTATTTGTATTACTTCACCTATGCTTTATAAATGCTGTCCTCTAGGCAGGAGTGATTTGGGGGAATCATTTGTAGATTAATTGATAATCAGATTTAATTCCACTTCTCTCTGTGTTCCTTTCTAACTTTAATTTGCAAGAAAAGTTGTATGTAGAGTAGACAGCCCATCCAAAATTCAGTGTTACACTAAGCAGCATAGCTGAAATGTGTCTGAGAGCTCACAGTTATGATGGAACACATTATCAGGGCTGATCTTTGCCAGCTGTACAAGAACAGAATAATCCTGCACTATATTAATTGGAAATGCAATTTACTTACTCCTAAAGTGCATTTAAAGTAAAATCAGTTTAATATAATTCAACACATACCAGGATGAAGTTTGCATTCCTGTTGTACTGTTACAGACTTTTTAATTTTTGTGCTTTATATTCAGTGGGATTTGTACGACCATTCTTGTGGACTACACTTGCAATAGAACATAAGCACGTGGGCAGCACATAAGTAAGGGTGACAGTAGTAGCACTGGCTCATGCTTTTGTTGATTGGGTAGTTCACTTCTAATCGTAATTATCAGTAATAATAATCACAGACAGCTATTTCTGTGCCATCCCTTTTTTTTCTTTCTTCCAAAGTAATGAAACATTATTCAAGGTAGTTGGTTTTTTTTTTTAAATAACTTTTGTTAAAAGCAGTCACGGCATCATTAATAAAACACATTTACATTATCTGAGCATAAGCCTGACGCTTAAATGTACTAGATACTAAAAAATCATCAGCTTAGCAGATTATTTGGTTCTATGACTCAAGCATTGACTCCCTGTGTTTCTTCTAGCCACCATTAGGGTCTCAATATTGCAATGAATTAATTCTCCTGCTGTAGCTTACGTGAGTGTGTTTCCACCAGCCTTCCACAATTTCCTCCCTCTTTGCCATAGGCATCATAGCCTTTTCTGTCAGTTGCCCTGATTCATTTACATTCAGCTAAGAATAATTAAACGGGGAGTGATTGGCTTCAATTCTTATTAACTTTGAAGTTTGGTGCTTCTATTTGAAACTTGGAGAAGAATTTGTGCACTCCAGAGCTTATCTTTGAATTCCAATTATGCTATAATTTGTCTCATAAAGATATCATCTTTAGCTACACATTTTTGTTTTAGATTTGCATGTTAGCACAGCATTACTGGGGAAGTGTGTCTAGCAGTTAGAGCACAGTCCTGACAAAAAGCAGCATGGATTTTTTTCATGAGTGCTACAGACTGGTCAGGCACATTTAATCTTTTGATCTGGAGAAACGTATAAAAACCTGAACAGTGTTGGTGTAAAGAATACTTTACAGCTGTATTTCATTTTTGTGTTCAGCTTATACCATACAGGAAAAGCCCTGCCGTGCTGTTCGATATCACTGCACTTTGGGTGGCACAATAGGTTGGTCAAGTCCTGTTGGAGGGGAATCATGAATATAAGATTAGATTAATCTGAAAGTCTATAGAGCTACTAAGTGCATTTCCCACCCTGGGAAAAATAACTCAAAATATCCAATTCAGCTTTAGTAGCTTTTTCCTGAAAGCCTCACGCACTAAATATTAACAATGAAATTTTGCTGAATTAGATAGTGCAACCCAAGCTGTGCTCAGCCCATTCGCCAGGAGCAGCAGCCAAATCCTGCCATCAGGTATGCATCTGCAGCACACCCGCCTTTTAGTGGGCGTTAAACGTGCATATGTGAGGGTGGAATTTGGCTCTCAATTCTTCTGGCCTTTTGCAGTTATGAGTGAGCCCAGGCCTTATAGATGTGGCTAAACAAAAGGAGTCACACGTGAGTATCTCAGAGCAGAACTTGGCTTCGGCACATGCATGTCAGTGCAATGTGTGGGAGTGAAACGGATTTCACATCCGTGCTAACACTTGTGTCTTCAGCAGCTGGCAGGTCTCCCAATGTTATGGTTGTATAAGCATTCACAATGTTGGTTTTTTTTCACTCTCTGCTCTGCACTGAATGCCTCCCTTTTCACTCTTCCCCTTGCACCAGGCCTGTCACCAGCCCCTCGTGTTTGCATCCACCCTCTTGGCAGCCCTGGAGCACTGCATCCTTCTCTGCTGCTGGATTTTTAATTTTTTTTTTAAACTTTTCTTGTAACATCCATGATTTTAGCGTGTTGGGGAATATTTTGGGTCAGTCAGAAGGAATTGTGATTTTGTTAATCTATGCTGCAGGAGGGAGACTATAGTAAATGAAATCTTATGGTTTCCCAGCTCCCAGTCAGGTTGTCGGTGTTGACTTAAACATTCTTTCATTGAATTGAACCTGCAGGAGCAATGGAAACCAACAGACACTCCTTCTGCACCTGCAAAAGAAGCTGCTGCTCTCAAGGCTTATTTAACACTTCTTTAAAAAAAATTCTCTTCCCAGTTGTTCAGCCAAGCACTTCCTTTAGAGCTTTGGCAGCACAGACAAAGAGAATATATATTTAACACCCATTTTAAAAAGTAATCTAGAGTTCATCAATACTGTGTTTTAAATTTAGGTTTACCATAATTTAAATTGTTAAATGTTAAAAATGTATTATACTTTAATAACATTACCTTTTATATGGAAAAAAGCCAGCCAAGCTTAAAAAAAAAGTAGTAAACTTATTTTTCCTGCATTTCTAAAGCCACCGACTGTGACTTTTGATGGTGTTTTATAGTGTGTCACAGTCATGGAGCTGTTTAGCCAAACTGATGCTTTTACCGCTTTCAGCAGCAGAAAGAGATATTTACATATATAAATAAAAGTTCTCAGCTAGAGCTTTTAAATAATGTGGAATGAGTGTTAAACTCAGGAATTCAGCCTGAGAGCCAAGTTAGCAAGCTGCCTGCAGAGCATGTCTGCAGAGTCGATGGCTGGGAGAGGAATTTGTAGACCCCTGTTCCTGGCTGAGAGCAGCTGTGGGATGGCTCCACAGAGATTACTTCAGTGAGAGGCCAACTCCTTTAGAGCTTCATTATTTCCTATCTCTGTATGGATGTAATTTAGGGAGTTGGTACATCATAGATGTACTAGGCTGAGCCCAGCTTTCTTTATCTCCTCTGCTCCATTGTATTGTTAGGAAGTACTGTAGCTATCAGCCAAATCAATGGCCACTAGTTTGATTTAATGGGGTGTTTAGCCATAGCTAAACTAAACATAGCTAAACTAATCACTATGATTTTTCACTTACATAGCAGAAGAAGTGGGGTCAAGTGCATCCTCAGCAAGTTTGCTGATGATACCAAGCTGTGGGGTGTGGTCTAGAGAGACGTAGACAGACTTGAGGTTCAACAAATGTAAATGCAAGGTCTTGCACCTGGGTTGAGGCAACATCCACCAGTAATACACGCTGGGGATGAAAGGATTGAGTGCAGCCCTGCTGAAAAAGACCTGGAGGTAATAGTGGATGGGAAGCTGTACATGACCCAGCAATGTGCCCTTGCAGCCCAGAAAGTCAACTATATACTGGGCTGCATCAAAAGAAGTGTGGCCAGCAGGACAGGAAGGTGATCCTCCCCCTCTGCTCCATGCTGGTGAGGCCTCTCATGGAATACTGTATCCAGATGTGGAGTCTTCAGTACAGGAGAGACATGGACTGTTGGAGCACATCCAGAGGAGGGCTACAAAAATTCTCCAAGAGATGGAACAGCTCTTTTACAAGGACAGGCTGAGAGTGCTGGGGCTGTTCATCCTGGAGAAGAGAAGGCTCTGAGGTGACCTGATAGCGGCCTTTCAGTATCTAAAGGGGAGCTACAGAAAAGAAGAGGACAGACACTTCAGCAGGGTCTGTGGTGATAGAACAAAGGGAAATGGCTTCAAGCTTAAAGAGAGGAGATTTAGGTTGGATATAAGGAAAAAGTTTTTTTTTTTTACAGTGGGGGTGGTGAGGCACTAGCACAGGTTGCCCAGAGATGTGGTGGATGCCCCATCCTTGGAGACTTTCAAGGTGAGGTTGGATCGTGCCCTGGACAGCCTGATGTAGCTGTGCATATCCCTATTGCAGGGGAGTTGGACTGGATGACCTCTAAAGGTCCCCTTCAACTCTAAGGGTTCTATGATTCTGTGATATGAAGTTGCAGTAGTAATACTTTTCTTTTAAATACCTGAATGAAAGTATTATAGATTGCATACTTTGCAGTGGTTGGTAACATTTGTTATCGTCAGTTAAGAGGCGGGGAAACTGAGCTATAGGAAAGCAAAAAGTTTTCTAAAATTTAATGAGCACTAGATCAACTTGGATTCTGTGTATAGGAAACAAATTTAGTGTTAACTATTTGATTTACTTTACCCTACCTAAATCTCACTTTTTTGTCATATAAATGTGTGCCTATCAGGAATTTTGTTAAAAAATTAAAATTTTTTAAAAATGGAAGAAAATAGCAATCACTGTATGTCAGCTATAACAGCTATATTCAATGCTTGCTTCTTTCTCACATATGTAACGTAGAAAGCTCTAGAAAGGAAAAGGTTTCCATGTGTAGTTGAATGGAGAAGGTGGAAACGGACTGTATCAGTCCATACTTTTTAGCATTCTGTAGCTAACTTGAGGGCTAGTGGCTGAATCCGGTAGAGTCAGTGAAAAAACTGTTACTGACCTCAGCTGGCTTTGGCTTAGCAGATCTGATGACACTGGCGAAATATCTTGATTTCTCTAACATTTTCCATATTTCTTTTCCCCCTTTCAGGAATGGGAGATGAAGAATGGAACATAAGTACAGCAAAACCACTCACTTTCCATAAAGGCTTTGCCTATTATGGACCACAACATAGGCTGCAAAGGACTCATCCGGTGTATCAAGCGATACAACATAAGAGGTTTTATAATTCTGTTAAGTTAATGGTAGCTTGGCGCTAATTTGCCTGTATTCCCTCTACTGTATTGCTGTGTAACTACATGTGCCCCTTTTTATTACCTGTAACTCTTTATTTCCAGCTTCACTGGTAACACAAATGGAAACCAAAAAGCAAACCAACTGTAGTAAGTAAAAAGAGGCATATAGTTGCAATTGAAAGTTTACTTTGCTGAAACAGTACAGACCAGCAATGTGAATTGCATTGCATCAGATGGCCTGAACAGCACTGAAGACTGGTGCGTTATTTAAGACAGATGTGAACTCATTTCAGATAAGTACTCTTGCAGGTAACACTGCTTTGGAGAGCTCTGCATGCCACAAGTGAGGCCACGTTGCTATTAGCGGTCCATGTGGCAAAAGAAAACTGAAGAAATGGCTTCACATGAATGGCATGACTTGCTTGGACTGGGAAGTGGGGAATTCATCACTGCTACTGCCTTGATGGCAGTGAGAGACAGTGGAATAACACAACTCAGCTGTGAAGAGTTTTTGGATGCTTTTTAAGATAGATTTTTGTCATTGGGAAATAAAAAGCTTCCACACATTGAAAAAAATAGATTTTAGTACATTAGCTTTATTCTGAGGCACCAGTCATTTTCAAAAGTCTTGTTGTCTAGCAGTGATTCATTTCTGATTTTGTTAGAAGGCAAACAGGTATTTTTAGATATTGCTTCTTTTCTATACTTTTTGAAAAAGAAAAAGAAATGTAATTGAAATTAATCCTCAACAGATAATGGCAACTCAGAATAGCTTTTGAGGTCTGTCATGTTTTTTTTTTTAAATATAGTATTGTTAAACTTGAGTTATAGAACACTGCTGTACTTCATTTTCTTCATCTTTTCAGACCTCAGCTGTTATTTTTGAGGAAGACAAGACTGAAAGGATGATAATTTTAAGTCTTTTTTATAAACATTTTTACAAAGAATTGGGGATTTTCTCAGACAGAAGTCGGATTTCTAGGAAACAGTATCTTGTATTTTAGTCTGTGACATTGTAGACGTGTTCATCTTTGTCTCTATCCGTGTCACTCCTGTGAAATTACATGCATTAAATTGCCAGCTGAAGCCTTTCAAAATCTCAAGATTGGCATAAGACAGAGA